ACCCCATGGACAACGTTCCTCCAGGCCTTCCTGTCCTCTACCATCTTCTGGAGTCCATTTAAGCTCACGCCTACTGCTTCAGTGACTCCATCCAGCCACCTCATTCTCTGTCATCCCCTTCTTCTCTTGCCCTCCATCTTTCCCAGCCTTAGGCTCTTCTCCAGGGAGTCCTTCCTTCTCATTAGGTGGCCAAAGTACTTGAGTTTCAACTTCAGGATCTGGCCTTCTAAAGAGCAGTCAGGGTTGATCTCCTCTAGGACTGACCGGTTTGATCGCCTTGCAGTCTAGGGGACTCGCAGGAGTCTTCTCTTTTGCTTTACAGACCTGCTAAGATCGTAAACATGAGGACTGGTCACAAAGTTGTTTGTTCGTCACCATCGTAACTGAACAGTCACCAACAATTCAGTTGCTAAGAGAGGACTACCCTGCACTTTTCTTCTTGGTTTTCTACCATCCAGTTATGGTTTATTCAGAAAAATTAAATAATAAATAAAGCACATTTTGATTATTTTTTTTTAAATACTTACCAAACTTTTTCTTTTCAAACTCGAGTTAAATGGAAGCTTACAAATTTATTAACACACAAGTATACTGAAAGGATTGTAGTTTTCTTTCACGTAATTGCTTATTTGAATTCCTGTATAAAATAAATGTTGCTTTCTTAGGTAGAGAAGCCTTTTCAACAAAAGGAACTACTAGATCCACTTGACATCAAAAGGCCACGTTGAGATGCTGAGCTAACCAAAATATTTTAAATGGCCTGGGCACTATTGTAGGGTTAATTGTGTATCATGACAAGTAACAAGTTGGGAGAACAACTCCCGAATTTTCATGTACAGTAGTGGCCAAAATTGTGGAAACCTTTTGGGAAAAGTGTACAGAAGAAATGCCACCTTTGGTTAACTTTCCACGAATTTTTCTTCTAATTTCTTCATAACTGTAGCCTTGTTCACTTAATAATACTATTTTACATCGCTTTCCGGGCAACCAGTCAACTCTTTGCACCATTACTTTAAGTTTATTACGTTTTACAAGCTCACTAAATGAAAGAACACAAAAAAACCCAACCAACTTGACGACGATCACATAACACACTGACAAATGTCCTCCTCTCAGCTTCAATACATGACATCAATAACCAAATCCTACTGTGATCTGATTGGCTCATTGACAAAACAAGATGACACCTGATTGGCTCTCTAAACACTCATGCTCATTGGCTACCATCGGAGGAAGGAAAGCTACCTGAGATCAACCTAAGCAAGTTGTGCTTCCTTTTTCTGGTTATTTGAGTATAACCTTTCATAGAATACAGTACAGATAATTGAACAGACTTTGTCGCATTACATTCTTGATTAAATTATCTTTCCATTGATATATAATTTTATGGTACTACTCCCCCCCCCAAAAGCAGTGTCATTAGCCATCAAACCTCAAAAATACACTTTTCCCAAAAGGTTTCCACAATTCTGGCCACTGCTGTAATAAGGTAGTCCTTGACTCACGATCATAATTCAGCCAAAAGATTCTGTTGCGAAGCTAAGTGAGTTTTGCCCTCTTTTACAACCTTTTCTTGCCGCTGTTGTAAAGCGAATCGCTGCAGTTTGTGAAGTGAGTCACACGGTTGTTCAGTGAATCTGCCTTCCCCAATTGGCTTTGCTTGTCAGAAGGCCCCAAAAGGGCCCTGGGAGACGACAACTGTCACAAATAGGAGCCAGTTGCCAAGCGTGATTGTGAGGATGCTGCAACAATCGTAAGGATGGGAAACGGTCCTAAGTCACTTTGTTCAGTGCCGCTGTAGTGGTTCCTAAATGACTGGTTGTAGTGGGCTTAAATGGACTCCAGAAGATGGTAGAGGACAGGAAGGCCTGGAGGAACGTTGTCCATGGGGTCGCGAGGGGTCGGACACCACTTCGCAACTAACAACAACAACAACAAAGCCAAAGTTTCCCATTTTGTATTTATGTCACATCAGGCAATAAGACATCGCATTTGTAACATAAATCTGGGCTGTTATTTCTGTAGAAACCATGACGGATTTTCTTCTTTAATCATCCTCTGTTATTTACGCGTAACGAGTGGATCACGTGTCCTTGCAGGTTATCTCTAGCAATTGCACCTACGTAATCTTCTACTCTTAAAAACCATAATAATGTATTTCAGACAGGATGGGCAAACCATATAAGAAGGTCCTTACGTTGTGCTAAAAACTCCAATGCGGTTTGCTCGGTTTTGGCCGAGCCTTTGGTGTGAAACCCAGCCGATATGGTTTGAGTTAGAACAGGGATGGATCACCGGCAGTCCCCCCCTCCCCGTTTCTTTTCATCTGTACCCATTTTAAAAGCAGCTAATATAATCATTGAGGCCTTTGAACTCTGGTGCTGGAGAAGACTCCTGCGAGTCCCCTGGACCGCAAGGCGATCAAACCGGTCAGTCCTAGAGGAGATCAACCCCGACTGCTCTTTCGAAGGCCAGATCCTGAAGCTGAAACTCAAGTACTTTGGCCACCTAATGAGAAAGAAGGACTCACTGGAGAAGAGCCTAATGCTGGGAAAGATGGAGGGCAAGAGAAGAAGGGGACGACAGAGAATGAGGTGGCTGGATGGAGTCACTGAAGCAGGAGGCGTGAGCTTCAATGGACTCCAGAAGATGGTAGAGGACAGGAAGGCCTGGAGGAACGTGGTCCGTCGGGTCGCGATGGGTCCGACACGACTTCGCAACTAACAACAACAATATAATCAAGTCTAACCGTGATTTAATTCAGTTCATTTTTTTTTAAAAAAAGATTTTTATCCCACTTTTTTTCCTCTAAAGTTTTTTTCCCCCAATACTGCTTTCTCCTCCTGTTTCCCCCATAACAATAATCCTGAGAGAGAATGACTGGCTCCAAAGTCACCCAGCCAGTTTTGCATGTTTAAGATAGGACTAGAACTCGCAGTCTCCTGGTTTCTAGGCCAACACATTAACCTCTGTGCCAAAGTGGCCTATTGTTATGGTTGCTCACACCATCATCCAGATGTTTAGCTTTGGCCTTTTTGCCTACCTGTCGAGTTCTTAATCGGGGCTCTTCAAACTTGGCCCTTTTATGACTTGTGGACTTCAGCTCCCAGAATTCCTCAGCCAGGCACGCGTGCCTGGCTGAGGAATTCTGGGAGTTGAAGTCCACAAGTCATAAAAGGGCCAAGTTTGAAGAGCCCTGCTCTTAATGGACCTGGGATAGGCAGATGTTGTTGCTTAATAACATTAAACGTCACAGGAAGGAAGCCATGATAGAATGTTGTGTAGGTGGAGAAGGAGTGTGTGTGTGTGTGTGTGTGTGTGTAGGAGTGGAGGAGGAAGCCCATACCAGAGAGGTCCCCAAAAAAGAGACTGCACAGTCCTGAAACTGGAGGAGGAAATGTGGAAAAGATTCAGGATAGCCATAGAATCTCCCAGGGTATATTTATTATGTCAGTCGTTAACAGCTGTAGTCTGTCAAGATTCTGTCTATTAAGTGTAAGCAAATAAAAGAACTGGACTTGATTGGATCTTGTTGTGTCATCTTTGGCCTTGGGCTGGGCCTAAGCTGTGCCCAGTAAAGCTGACTTTTGCAAATGATGGTTTTTGTCAACGCTAATGGTGTTCAAACGGTGCCCTAGATACTCAAGGTGCCTATTACTATTGCTACTGCCTTTGCTTTTATTATTATTAGGTCGCTCAGAATTCTAATTTTTTGAAAAATGTTTCACAACCATACAATATTTCACTTCCATCCTCCTGGCTTTGTCTTAGGTGAACCTAAGTGATGGTGAACCTTTTAGAGACCAAGTGCCCAAAACCACTCCCACGCCGCTGCCCCGCCCTCACTCCACCACCCCCACGTCCCGCCTGCCGGCAGGGCCACCTGCTGCCTCCACAGCCCACCCCAGATCACCCAGGTGGCCCAGCAGCGCCACGGAGGCCACGCCCTCCGTCCGCACCTCGCAACACCATCTGCGCGCAGTGGGACGCGAGGGCGGAGTCTTGTCCCCGCTGCCTGGCTGCTATGTCCTTGGCTGCGCTGCTCCACACGGGCCGCGCCCGGTGACGACTCCTTCGGGGGGGCTGTTGGTGAGGAGTGGGCCGTGGGGGGAGGCAGGGCTGCAGCGACGGCACGCGTACCCATAGTGAGGGCTCTAAGTGCCGCCTCTGGCCCGCGTGCCATCGTTCCACCCCCTGGCCCGCCTGCTGGCAGGGCCACCCACTACCTCCACGACCCACCGCAGATCACTCAGGTGGCCCAGCAGCGCCATGGAGGCCACGCCCTCCGTCCGCACCCCGCAACACCATCTGCGCGCAGTGGGACGCGAGGGCGGAGTCTTGTCCCCGCTGCCTGACTGCTATGTCCTTGGCTGTGCTGCTCCACACGGGCCGCGCCCGGTGACGACTCCTTCGGGGGGCTGTTGGTGAGGAGGGGGCCGTGGGGGGAGGCAGGGCTGCAGCGATGGCACGCGTGCCCATAGTGAGGGCTCTAAGTGCCGCCTCTGCCCGCGTGCCATCGTTCCACCCCCTGGTCCGCCTGCCGGCAGGGCCACCCACTACCTCCACGGCCCACCTGAGATCACCCAGGTGGCCCAGCAGCGCCATGGAGGCCACGTCCTCTGTCCGTACCCTGCAGCACCATTTGCGCGCAGTGGGACGCGAGGGCGGAGTCTTGTCCCCATTACCTGGCTGCCATGTCCTTGGCTGCGCTGCTCCACACAGGCTGTGCCTGGTGGTGACTCCTCCGGGGGGGATGTTGGTGAGGAGGGGGCTGCGGGGGGAGGCGGGGCTGGAGCAATGGCGTGCATGCTTACAGTGAGGGCTCTGAGTGCCGCCTCTGGCTCGCGTGCCATAGGTTCGCCACCACTGTCTTAGGCAAACGGGTCAGGAATGTGGAAAAGTGTGACTCTAAGGCCATGTTGGCGTGTGCCAGCCACATTTTGCTTTGTCTCTCGTGCCCACTTGGTTATGAATGACTCGGTTTTTCTTTTTTTTCCTACAGGAAATTTGGTGAGCGACCTCCACCGAAGCGGCTCACCAGGTAGGGTTCGGGTCTTGCGTTCAGGTCCTGACGGGGGCTCTTCCCCAGGGGTGTGTATTATAATATCAGTTGCCTCTCTGGACAGGCGAAAGGGATCATCAAAGCGGTCAGAGCTACAAGAGCAAGGCCGTCTGTTCTGTTGGCTTCTGAGCTCGGTTTTGTCGTTCTGTGTACGTTCTGTGTAGGCAACTTCACCTGCACGCTCACGGAGCTGCTATCCTTACTCCTTAACTTTGATCCTTTATGGAAAAGGTGGAGACCAACATCTTCCTGCCTGTTACTACAAAGAGAAAGGGATCCCTTCCCCGAGAAATACATAGGTGTGGAGCACCTCAACTGTTCCCAGTCCAGTGACACTGGTGGGAATCAATCTGATTGCTACTGGTGGTCCTTAACTGGCTGACAACTGTAATTGAGCCCAGAATTATGGGTGGGGTGGGGTGAGAAGATGGTCATGAGAATTTGGAGCAAAGGGAACCCTAGCAGCTTTGGCAGGCCCCACAAGAGAGACGTAGCTACACGCAATTCAGACACATAGCAGTGTCAGCCTTTGGATTGCTTTAAAAAATACATGTATAAATTGGGTTTCTATGAACTTGATTGCCTTTGTTCTCCCATTCTTAGGGAAGCGATGAGGAACTATTTAAAGGAGCGCGGCGATCAAACAGTCCTAATACTTCACGCAAAAGTGGCTCAGAAATCCTATGGAAACGAAAAGAGGTAACGATGGGCGGTGTTCTTGAATTGTGCGCTGCGCTGTTTTGCAGTCGAAAATAAACATAAATTAACGCAGAGAGCAGCTTTCAACAACCATCTGCTATTTGGATGTCATGGATTGTTACTCCTAGAATTCCTGGCTTGGAAGCTTGCAGGTTTTATAGAAGGAGGGAATGAGATTAGAAAGAACGGTGCAAATTTTCTGGATTTTGTGTTATAGAGATTTAAAATTACACTGGGTCTGGTTTTGGGGTTCTTTTTCGCTGCTGAGGTATCGGTTGACAAACTGTAGTTTAAAAAATCTGGAAAAAGTATCAGTTCGGGAGCCTTAAGATTTTGCAACGCAAAGGTTGCTATGAATTATTTTAAATGGTCTTTGTTACATTGTGTGGAGCTCCATTTAGTGACTATTTAAAGTAACTTAAGTTCTTAACGAGCATACATTTCTGTCAACCAAATAAATTACAACAAAATAGATTTTAAAAAATAAAGAGAGTGGGTGTATATGTATCAGAATTTCATTTTTTAATGTATGCCAGTGTGTTCACAGAAAAAAGTGACAATGAAGGTCTTGGTCTTGTCTTCTCTTCTCTTCTCTTCTCTTCTCTTCTCTTCTCTTCTCTTCTCTTCTCTTCTCTTCTCTTCTCTTCTCTTCTCTTCTCTTCTCTTCCCTTCCCTTCCCTTCCCTTCCCTTCCCTTCCCTTCTCTCTTCTCTTCTCTTCTCTTCCCTTCCCTTCCCTTCCCGTCTCTTCTCTTCCCTTCCCTTCCCTTCTCTTCTCTTCTCTTCTCTTCTCTTCTCTTCTCTTCTCTTCTCTCATCTCTTCCCTTCCCTTCCCTTCCCTTTCTCTCCTCTCCTCTCCTCTCCTCTCCTCTCCTCTCCTCTCTTGGTTTTGTCTTGTCTCATCTCCCTAAGCAAAACTGGGTTAGAGGAACTGGGGAAGCGGCTTCAGTTATAGTACTTTAGATTAAATTCTTAACTGACATTCTTTCAAATTGCCTCCTCTCATATTTGTAGCTTAAAATTCTATACATCGAAAGTATATAATAATAATCTAATTTTTCCAAAGGCAATACAAACCTTCTAGGGAAATACATGTTCTAAATGTAACTTTTCGGTACGAGCCAGGAAATCTTAAAATCTTTTGAAGTCCAGTTGTTTTTCGGTAAAGAAAGTTGCATAATTTGGAGCTTAGCTTAGCTTTGTTGGCACCACATTCGAAATTGGTTAGCTCTCTGACATTGCATTATGAAACCACATCTACCTATAGTACTCTTCTGTTGCTAGAATTAAACGTCATTAAATATTTCATTTTAAAAATAACACATTTCTACCCCTGGAGACCTAGTGGGTAAAGATTCATGTGGAGTTAAAGGCGCTTTCATTTATTGGAGAAGCCAGTAGAAATAACAAAACAAAACCAAATCCTGCATCTGATTGGATTTGGGGGCAAAACTAGGATTTGAAGATGTAAGTATATTCTGACCTTGGGAATCCAATTCAGTTCCATCTTCCATTTCCCCCCTTCTGGATTTTAAATAGCTCAGCTACAAAAGTGAGGTGGTGGTTAAGGCACCAGGAGGAAGAAATGTTAGGTATGTTCACTACCTTGAGTTATTTAAAAAAAAATATCTTTAAAACTATTTTTAAAAATCTAAAAAAAGTTCTCCCTCGCTCAGATTATGTATAATTTTTTTTCTGGCTGCCTTTCCCTTCAAAAATGGCATTTTGTGCAAGATAACCAATGACTTGGGTCCTTAAAAAGGGAATACCTGTTCCAGGTGAACCTAACGTTCTGCTCTTTGCCTTCAGATTTTTTTGCCCTCCTCCGTGCGTCTATCTTATGGGTAGCGGATGGAAGAAAAAAAAAGAACAAATGGAACGAGACGGCTGCTCTGAGCAGGAATCTCAGCCATGCGCCTTTATCGGGATTGGGAATAGCGACCAAGAGATGCAGCAGTTGAACTTGGAAGGAAAGGTGCGTTGAACGTAACGTAGCGTTTGCGAACCCATTTATACTGAGAGGTCACGGTGAGCGTGAGTAATAAATCGATTCAAGACACGGATGCTCTAAATTTGGACCTTCTCTGTGTTCATTCGTGGTCACTGAGTATCTTTTGGCTTTTATCCTGCTTTTATGTAAAAAAATAATAAATAGATGTGTCTCATAGTTTTTTGTTTTGTTTCTATCTTGTTTTCGTGACTACATTTGTTTGTTTTTTATAAAGATTTTATTGGGTTTTTTTTCATAAACATATGTTAATTTTTCCAACCAACCAGTTGTCTGGAGTTTGCTATGCTAATACTGTACATGTTCAATTCCTAATCCTTCATTCTTTCCTCTAGCCAACAATAAAATAGGTCCCAAATTTGATAATAGTCTGTATCTTCTTTATCTTTCAACCTCATAGTTAATCTGTCCATCTCTGCACATTCCAATATTTTCCTGATTATTTCTTCTTCTGATGGCCATCCTTCATTCTTCCGGTATTGTGCAAAAATTATTCTCGCTGCTGTGGTGATGTGTAAGATTAAATATAATTTCTGCTTATTAGTCTTTTCAGGCATAATGCCTAGTAAAAAAAAGTTCAGGTTTAAAATCCACTTGTTCACCCAATATTTTTTCTAACCACATATGTATCTTTCTCCAATAGACCTTTGCCCTTACCACATGTCCACCAAATATGATAATACGTGCCTATGTTATGTTTACATTTCCAACATCTATCTGACATATTTTTAAACATTTTTGCTAATCTTGCTGGCGGCAGGTGCCATCTATAAAACATTTTATATATAGATTTTCTTTATATGAAGTTGACATTGTTAATTTGTAGTTTCTCTCCCATAACATTTGCCATTTTTCTAATTCTATATTATAGCCAAAAAATTTTCGCCCATCTTGTCATCGTTTCTTTCACTTGTCTCGTGACTACATTTGTACCAGCATCTCAATCTTTAAGCAAAGCGGTTGCTAAGTGAAAAAATCACCCAACCGCTTCAGCTTTCCTTTGCTTTGCAGCATCAGGAGGATGGCAATAGCACTTAGACTTATATACTGCTTCACGGTGCGTTTACAATCCTCTGTAAGCAGTTTACAGAGTCAGCATCTTGCCCCTGGGTCCTTGTTTTACTGACCTTGGAAAGATGGAAGGCTGAGTCAACCTTTGAGCCGGTGACAATCGAACTGCCGGCAGTCGGCAGAATTAGCCTGCAATGCTGCATTCTAGCCACTGCACCCCCATGGCTCAGGATGTCGCCCCGAAACAGTTGGGTGAGCCCAAATGGTGGGGAAAGTTTCAAAGCTCAACTCGTAAGGAAGTGTTGTGATTCTGTGCCAGCCACTGGACCTGGCAGTTGAGTCCGGGAAATCAGAGGAGTAGGAGGAGGGGCCTGGAGAGCCATCAGAGTCGGAGGAAGGCTCTGATGAGCTCCAGGACTTATAATCTGATGAAGAGCCTGGCCCCCTCCACTCGTGCTCAAGCTGAGACCCAGCTGTGTGGGGAAGCTGAGCCAGACTCTTGAGGACTCACAGCTGGAAGACATCATAGACCAGACATGTCAAATACAAGGCCTGGGGGCCGGATGCGGCCCGCGAAGTGGTTTCATGTGGCCCACGAAGCCATTCTAGAAACAGTGAGGGAACGGCCCCCATTGCCTTGGCCTTGGCCCAGGCCAGCTGGGAGCCAATGTACAGTTTTGTGGTGGCCATCTTGGCACTTGCCCCGGTGGACCATGCCTTGGCACTTGCCCCAGTCCCACCCCCTTCTGCCAGAGACCCTCAGATCTGTCCCACTCCTGCCCAGGCTTCCATAGGCACACTGGACGCGAATGATGTCGAACTGGCCACGCCCACCCAGTAGGCCACACCCATTCCATCCATGCCCACCCAGTAGGCTGCACCCACTCTGGTCACACCCACATGGGCCCCCCAAGAGCAACCGCAATGCTGATGCGGCCCTCAGTGAAATTGAGTTTTGACACCCCTGTCATAGACGCTCGCAAATGCAGACAGGCAACAAGAGTAGGACAGAGGGAGGCAATGGGGCAGCTCCAAGGGCGGAGGAGAAGACATTGAGAAGCCACACCTGGGGGCTGCATAATAAAAAGGGAAGGTGTATTTGCAAAGGATTCAAGTTTCATGGAATCAGATTCTGTTTGCCTTGCCTGTGAACAATTCTCTGTTTGAATCGTGTTTTGTTTGCCTTGGACAATTCTCCGTTTACATCGTGTTTTGTTTGCCTTTGCTTTTGGGACATTTTGCATGTCTGTACCTAATTTACAGGTTTTTCCTGCATTTCCAGCCTACTTGTTAAAAGAGGGGTTTGTCCTTGTGAGTTAACAAGGACTCACATAGGCTGGGACAGAACAGGAAGCTTTTTTTGCCCTTTGGATGCTCACCCCGTCACTGAGATCATTAGGAAGAAGAGAATTAATGTTTGTATTTACGTTACAGAGAAAGGAATTGCAGTAGAGTACACAGGCACACGGTAGGCAACACACATCAAAGGAATGAAGTTGCGCCAGACATTTTTCCTGGCAGGATCCCTGTGAACTACTTATGGGCAAACAAAAGGGTTACCACAAAACTGATTAGGGTCTTGTTGGTGTCAGGCAAAGTTTATCAGCGGAGGGTTCTAATCAGCTAATTAAGGTTACAGAGCCGAGCTTGTTAATTTTCAGTTGGCGCTTCTGCGCTGTGGAAAAAACCAACTTGGGAAGTGATGGCTTGTTTTGGCAATTTGGGATAAATAAAGCAGGTTAGGCTCGGGACAGGGTGTATTAACTGATTGTAGGTGAACATGTGCCAGAGAGAGACATTCCAAAGTTGTACATGTGAGCATTGGATGCAGAGTCATTTTTTCATCACCTTCAAGCTGCAGATAGTCACTGTCTGAGGCAGTCGGTAAACGATCACCTGTACATATGTTCTGAACTTTCTTTGTTGAACACTATACATAGTTCATGGTTGTTGTTGTTAGTTGCGAAGTCGTGTCCGACCCATTGCGACCCCATGGACAACGTTCCTCCAGGCCTTCCTGTCCTCTACCATCTTCTGGAGTCCATTTAAGCTCAAGCCTACTGCTTCAGTGACTCCGTCCAGCCACCTCATTCTCTGTCGTCTCCTTCTTCTATTGCCCTCAATCTTTCCCAGCATCAGGTTCTTCTCCAGGGAGTCCTTCCTTTTCATTAGGTGGCCAAAGTATTTGAGTTTCAACTTCAGGATCTGACCTTCTAAGAAGCAGTCAGGGTTGATCTCCTCTAGGACTGACTGGTTTGATCGCCTTGCAGTCCAGGGGACTCGCAGGAGTCTTCTCCAGCACCAGAGTTCAAAGGCCTCCATTCTTTGGCGCTCAGCCTTTCTTATGGTCCAACTTTCACAGCCATACATTGCAACTGGGAAAACCATGGCCTTGACTATATGTACTTTTGTTGGCAGGGTGATGTCTCTGCTTTTTAGTATGCTGTCTAGATTGGCCATAGCTTTCCTCCCCAGGAGCAAGCATCTTTTAATTTCTTGGCTGCAGTCCCCATCTGCGGTGATCTTGGATGTTGATAAATATGCAAACGTTCTGGATAATAAAAGAAAATAATTACTTTCCTTGCTTTCAGTCACTGAAAGAGAGTTAATTACTTTTACTCCTAAATATCCTGCTTGAAGTCATTTTCTGACACTGTGGGCTTTGTTTCTCTCAGCAGAAGGAAATTTCCTCGCCTGCTTATCAGAGAAAATGAAATGATAAAATAGTTCGGTGGCGAGAGACCAATCCCTCTTTCGCAGGGTTTATTAAGTATGACATGATAGAGTGAATTCTTGATCTAATATGACTTCAGGATTTCATCACCGACAATAATGAATTGGTCTAGTAACTCCGTAGGGATGCTATTTTGTTTTTTTAATTTAATTCCCACCTTTATTATATTTATAAATAACTTAGGGTGATGAACATCCCTAATAATACTCCTTCTTCCTCCTATTCTCCTGATAGCAACTAGCCTGTGAGGTGAGTTGGGCTCAGAGTGAATGATTAGCCCAAAGTCACCTAGCTGGTTTCCATGCCTAAAACAGGACTAGACCGCACAATTTGCTGTTATCATGTCACAGTCAGGCAAGCACTATTGCTTTATCTTACTCTATTATGAACAAATAGTTTATGCTGCGCTGAGAATATTGGCGTCTCTTTCACTCAGAGTGAATTGTACAAACATGCCTAAAGAATGTAATAAATTATATAAAAACCATTGTATTGAAATAATGCAGTGTATCAAGATTTATCGCAACACAACAAAAAGGAAGGGGAAAGAGGGGGAAGGGAGGGGTAAACGCATGCGTGTGCATGTGCGTGTGCGTGAACACTGTTGCTTACACAAGTGGAGCCATGAGCGCTCACGTGTGGGTCTGCAAATGCCTGTGATGTTTGTGGCAATGCTCACGCAAGCGTGGCCACGAACGCCTGCCAGGATGCTTGCGTGAGTTGGGTAGTGAGTACCCACGTCGCTTGTAGCAATGCTTGCATGAGTGGGGCTGCGAACACCCATGACGACACTTGTGTGAGTGGGGCCGCAAACGCTCATGGCGACGCTCATGTGAGTTGGGCTGCGAACGCTTGCAATGCTTGCAGCAACACGTGGATGGGGCTATGAATGCCCCCAGCAACGCTCGCGTGAGTGAGGTTGTACGTGCGCACACATGTGCGAACCGGCCAGCGACTCGTGTGGCCCGGTGGCGAATAGGCCGCAGTCCACAGGTTGGGGACCTCTGTGCTAAGTCATATTTGGAGGATACAGTCCTGTCTTATTTTGAAGAAATCAGCTAACACTCTGGGTTTATATCATCGTGAATGCATGCTTATGCGTGTGGGACTGCGAACGCCTGCCACGAAGCTCATGTGAGAGAGGCCACGGACGTCTGCGGTGACGCTCGTGCGAGTTGGGCCTCAAACACCCACGATGCCCGCGGCAATATTCACGCAAGTGAGGCCGCGAATGCCCAGGACAAAGCTCGTGTGAATGGGGCCGCGAATACCCATGACAACGCTTGTGCAAGTTGGGCCGCAAACACCCACGATGCTCCTGGCAATGTTTGTGTGAGTGGGGCCACGAATGCTCACGACAACGCTCGTGTGCGTGGGGCCGCGAACACCCGCAACAACGTTTAGGCGAGTTGGGCCGCAAATGCCAGCGACGCTGCAGCGCATGAGTGAGGCCGGTGAACATCCACGAAACTCAAGGCAACGCTCCCGTGAGTGAGGTTGAACACGTGCGCACCGGCCAGCCACTCACGCGACCCAGTGGCCAATAGGCCGCGGCCCGGTATTGGGCTGCGGCCCACAGGTTGGGGACCTCTGGTTTAAGTGACAGAAAAAGCAATATATTTCCATTTAGTTTTTCCCTTTTACAGGAAAAGAGTAAAGCAGAAGTACGTGAACCGTCTACGTATAGCAAAATCATATTTTTCTTTACAGATACTTGATGCTGATCTAGCTCATTCGTTTTCTGCTTGCGGAGTTGGGAACACCCATGTACTTGCAGTTCTCACCACGCTGTTAACTTTTTTCTGAAATGCAATAAACTGGAGCCCTACCCCGAATTTTTGAATTTGTTGTAACTTTACAATACTGTACTACTAAAAATTCCTGATTAGTACAGCTAGGCCTAGTTACCTTTAACAGTGCTTCATTGGAAAAAATACTACATTACTGTCTCCTTTTATCCACAGAACTATTGCACAGCTAAAACTTTGTACATATCAGACTCTGACAAGCGAAAGCACTTCATGTTATCCGTAAAAATGTTCTACGGCAATAGCGACGATATCGGTGTGTTCCTTAGTAAACGGATCAAAGTCATCTCCAAGCCTTCGAAAAAGAAACAATCGCTAAAAAATGCAGACTGTAAGTATTGGCCAAGCGAGGCTTCATTGACTGTGGTCGGATGTTTCACATACGTTGCTGTGAGCTTGTGAGTTTTCCATTCATCTCTTAAGAATGTGGCCTTTGGTCCCCTTATAAAACAACTCCCAGCTATTACAACAAAGGAAGTATTTGATTTCAGCTTCTAGCAATTTCAGCAGTGTGTATGTGTGTGTGTGTGGGGGGGGGGGCGTAACAGTTGTATGCGTTACATTTTTGAGATGATCTGATTGAAGAGGTAACAATTTTTTTTTTTTAAAGCAGATTTGTCTTAGCAACTTTTTAAGACCCGTGGACTTCCCCAGCCTAGTACAGGGAATTCTGGGTGTCGAAGTCCACAAGGGGCTTCTGGGAGTTGAAGTCTAGGTTTTAAAGTCGTGGAGGTCGGACACCCCTGTTTTAAAGCACACCTCAAGGGCTGTCCCAGGTAAAACAGACTCTTAAAAGACAAACCGCTAAAAGGATAACATTCTAGACTAGTTTGTTTTATTATTATTTATTTATTTATTGACTGTGACTAGGAAAGGAGATTGCCTTTTTAAAAAAAAAAAAAAAACAAGCCAAAGAAAAGATGCACATTTTCTGCTGGGTGTGTTAAAACAGGGCTTTTCAACCTTTTCACCCATTGTACCACTTTTAGGATATGGCAATATCCGAGTACCACCAGTCCTAGCAAGGTGTCAAAAACTTGATAACCAAAAAAAAAGGAAAAAAGGAAAAAAGTGATAAAGTACAGGTAGTCCTCGACTTACAACAGTTCGCTTAGTGACTGTTCGAAGTTACAATGGCACTGAAAAAAGTGCCCCCCCCAAGCCCCAGCCGAGCAAGACACCTACCTGCCCACCCGATGGCGCTCTTCCTCCTGTCTGATGTTTCCATTGTTAGCATTTCTGTTGAGGATTGGCAGTGGGGGTAGGGTGAGGGGGTGTTTGGTGTTTATTACCCCCGTCTGCTGGGGGGTTGCAGCAGGTTTTGGTCACTTCACATGACCCTGGGACACGGTGACCGTCATAAATATGAATCAGTTGCCAAGCATCTGAATGTAAATCACAAGACCCTGGAGATGCTGCAACATTCCAGCTGATCGGTGCTTCTTCAGGGCTCAGCAGAAGCACCAGGATCAGTGCTGCTTTCCAGCTGATTGGTGCTTCTTCAGGGCTCAGCAGAAGCGCCAGGATCACCGCCGAATTTCAGCTGGATCTTGGTGCTGATCCTGGCGCTTCCGCTGAGCCCTGACAGCCCTGCAGCTCCAGCCATCTCTCGCTCAAGCTTGTGCGGTGCTGCCACCGGTTCAGCTCATTCCTCTCCCCCACTACCACTTTTCTAGGATGGTCGCGTACCACCTGCCAGGTGCCAATGTACCACAGGTGGTACCCGTACCACTGGTTGAAAAGCCCTGTATTAAAAGAGCTGGAGGGAAACTTGCATTTTTCAGATTAGCAGAAGTGCTGACTTCGTTGCCAGCGCGTCTTTCCTGTCTAAGGCTAAGGCTGGTATATTAAAGGCTCTGTTTTTTGTTTTTTTGTTTTCTCCTGCACAGTATGCATTGCATCAGGGACGAAAGTAGCGCTGTTTAATAGACTTCGGTCCCAAACAGTTAGCACCAGATACTTGCACGTAGAAGGAGGGAACTTCCACGCCAGCTCACAACAATGGGGAGCATTTTACATTCATCTCTGTGAGTACAACTGAAAACCCTCTGTTGTTTTTTTGTTTTGTTTTGTTTAATCTCTCCTGAGTTTGGGGGGAAATGGTAGCATTTTGCTTTCTCTTGGAACGGATTCAGGTTTGCCTGGCACGCTGATATTTCTCTTTCCTCCGCAGTGGACGATGATGAATCCGAAGGAGAGGAATTCACAGTCCGAGACGGCTATATCCATTATGGCCAGACGGTCAAACTCGTTTGTTCGGTTACCGGCATGGCGCTCCCAAGATTGGTACATTTTGCATTTTCATATATGTCAGAGAAAGAGACTGGCCGAGCCAGGGGGAGGAGTCAAACAGGGAATTAGTCTGGAATCTTTACGTAGGCAGAAGAGGGCAAGGTCTAAACCCTTCTGAATGCTATTATACTTTATCTCAGGGGTCCCCAACCCCCAGTCCATGGACCAGTACTGGGCCGTGGCATGCCAGCAACCGGTCCGCACAAACAAGCAAAGCCCCATCCATGGGATGCAGGCAGCACACACAACCACACACTCTCTCCACGGAACCTGGTGCCCAGAAGGTTGTGTACCTCTGTGTTAGAGGATTTGGAATAGAGTGTGTCATGTGTCTGATTAACAAAACACTTAAAAGAACTTTCAGGCATTTTATTAACCTAAAAGCATTTTTTAAGGTTACAGAGGTGTCAGTACGGCATGGTAGAAATGCTTAGATCTGAGATCCTTTTCCGTTGCACATAACATTCCAGGCATTTTCCCCTCCCCTATTTTGGGGTCATGATTCACATCTTCCAATTAACTTGGAAGATGTGATTCACTTCCGGTTCCTTTTTTCCCGGGCTTTCCTTATATTCTCCTCCCCTTTCACTGTTGCCTGATTTAACTATAAAAATACCAGACAGTTCTGCATATTGTCAAAGCAAGAATATACAGTATTTGCAGCGTTGACAAGAGTGTTTGAGGGATCATGCTGTGCTGCCCACTCTGGAACATCATCCTTCCTGAGTTTAGTTTGGACCCCATCCTGCTGGTTTCCCATAAAGCTTTGAAAACTTGGGTTATGTGCCAAAGCCTGGGTCCCAATTGTGAGACATCTTCACGTGCCCCCGAATGGAGACGAAACGTTTGCAGCCAAATCGCCACGCTCGGAGATCAAACCAGCAGCCCATAAGAATGAATAATAGCCACACTTCCTTAGCAACAGGTTTGAAATCCATTGCCAACTTGATAACACGTGAGCCGATAGCCATCTGAAGTGATACGTATTCATGATACTGGTGGTTTTAAAAAAAAAACAAGAAACCTTTCTAAATATTGAACTGTATTTATTGACAGATAATACGGAAAGTCGACAAACAGACCGCTTTGCTAGATGCGGATGATCCAGTATCCCAGCTCCATAAGTGTGCGTTCTACCTTAAAGATACCGAACGAATGTACTTGTGCCTTTCCCAAGAGCGAATTATCCAATTTCAAGTAAGTTGTTTGACATACCAGCATAGTGTATGCTGTTCATGATCTTTTTGAGAGCGGGCGTGTCTTAAAAACTAGCACCCAGGAGGACCGTCGCACCCACTCCAGCCTCTTTGATAACTCCTCCTCTTAAAATGGCTTGGCGTGGCAATATGCTTTACATTTGCAACCCTGTGTAGCACTGCATATTTTATTTGCAGATGGCACCTTGATATGAGAGGGGGGCGCTCCTGCTTGTTTCCTGCCGTGTATTTTAGCACTGCAGTTGAAACTGCAAGTTGTGTAAAGACATAGGCATGGAAAAGAAGCCGCAGGGTTTTGATAGGGAGGGATGGGCCCACCAAAGGAATCTGTTCAGAAAAAGGCAAGTCTGAAGAGAATATGGTCTGCATTTTGGGCCTGACATTCTATTGCAGTGATGGCGAACCTTTTAGAGACCGAGTGCCCAAACTGCAACCCCCAAACCCACTTATGCATCGTTGGGTGCCGGGTGGGGTGTGGCCCATTGGGTGGGCGTGGCTGCGGTGGTAACAGCAGACTGGGTGGGACTAAAAAGTTCAATCAATCAATTCCAACTTTGCAAGATCTTTTTTTTTCCCCGCGAGAAGTTGAAATTGACTGATTGAACCTTTTTTTTTTTTGTACATGGCGGCGGAGGCCTAAAGCGAAAAGGTTTTATAAAACCCAGCTGAAGGCCTAGGACTGGGGCGACGGCGCGCTTGCCCACAGAGAGGGCTCTGAGTGCCGCCTCTGGCACCCGTGCCATAGGTTCGCCACCATTGTTCTGTTGAAAGCTTCTGTTGTTACACAAGCTATTATTGATGCTCTCTCAAGCGTTTGACAATTATTTTTTTTTAAGGCCACTCCATGTCCCAAAGAACCAAATAAAGAGATGATTAATGATGGAGCTTCATGGACAATCATTAGCACAGATAAAGCAGAATATACATTTTATGAGGGCATGGGACCCGTCCACGCTCCCGTAACACCTGTGCCTGTCGTTGAAAGTCTGCAGGTAAGCCAGACTTTTCTTTCTGCTTCGACACGGTATATAATAGAGATTACAGCGAACAAGC